CCCCCCATCTTCTGGGGGGGCTGTTAGGGAGTGAAGGAGTATGGCAACACTGGCTGTGCTGATGACTTGATTTGAAATTATACTGCATCTTTCAGGATTTCCCTTGTATTTTTGACCGTCTTTACTGTAACTTGTATTTTCAAGTTTGGTGTATTATCATGATTCCGCTGTTACTTTTTTGTTTTTTTGTTTTTTTTTAAAAAAGATAAAGAGCACCCTTTTTGAGAGCTACTACATTAACCAGATTAATTTCTCTTTCCTACTGTCTTGTGCAGTGTCATTGCTTGTTGACTTGCTGAGTTCCTTTTTTGCAATGCAAACTGAAGTATGAGGGTTTTTTGGAAACTATTTAAGAAATTACTGAAAATGTTTACCTGATCTGTGTATTCTATTTTTTCCTTAACCTTTTTCTCCTGTGTCAGTCAATATTAGCACTTACATTTGCTACTGCAGTTTTCAACCATTCTGAAAACAGCAGGGTTCATGATATTCCTGAATAGTTTTCTTAGCTGAAATCCCAGGTATTTTCCTTTTTTTTTTTTAAGTATAATTTACCAGAAGGGATTCACCAATGCAATTTTGTGTTGACTTCCCCTTCAGTAGCTATGTCTTTTCTGCACATCTGTCAACTAATAAAAAAAAAGAAAATATCCTTGTACCATTACTTCCTTGTTAATTGAGCTGGTTTATTTGCATGGGTTATTTAAAGCTTTGACTAACAGCTGTTCACACGTCCAGTGCTGTTCCTGTCCAATGCCTATCCATAAATATAAGATTACTGGAAAATAAAACTGCTGGTTGACAGCTGCCAGCCTGAATGGAAGACTAAAGAATGAACTGACTTAGAGAAGTACTTTGGCAAAAGGCCATGGGCTTTGCTGTTATATTTAGTTTTTCTAAGTCAGCAAAGTGGAGACCAGTGGGAAGATGGTTCACTGTCTCGTGACTGCAGACATGCAGGACTCAGGGCAAAGCTGCTGCTACCATGGGGCTGGAGTGCTGCTGGTTCCCTAGCAAACCAGGAGCATAGCACTCCTGGTCA